GATATGGACCTCTTGTAGTAAGGGAACTTTAATTATTCATTATCTGTTTTTCAACGTAACTTCTTTTTATGATATACAAGTTTTCTTCATCACATAAGGTGATCTCACGATCGGCTGCTGTGTTCAAGACTACCCCTTACAAACGGTAAAATGATTAATATATACTTGGCACTCCATACTTCATGGCGAAGAAAAAGAACTGTTAAATTAAATTGTCTGCATCCACTGCATGTCTAGTTATAAATAGAATCCCTATAGAATCCCTATACTTATCACTCCCCCTATACTAAGCCAAGTGCATAATCCTACCCTTATTGTCAAAAAATATTTCTTAATGTCTTCTTTATAAACACAGACCGGAGCTGTTCAAATGAAAGGAGTCCTTCCGTATATACTTTCGCCAAGCACAATCCTGATAAATGATTTGAAAAGATTACGAGACTGAATATTTTGCGAAACTGATTTTCCAGCGCTAACAACACTGTCGGCACTGAAACGTTGGGGGACTGACTCCCCTAAACTTTCACTTGGAAAGGCTGAACCCCCTTTCCCCCCTCTTCTCCCTGCCAGCTTGCTCTGTCGCCTATGGACTAGGCCCTTCCAGTTTGTGCTCACAAAACTAGTATATCGTACCACGATTGCCCGCTTTTTTTCCCAAATTATGCTCAAATTAGGCTCATTTTGATTCGGATAATTACGTTGTCATTAATTTGAGATCTAGGTATGGATGGAACACGGCACTTCTTCCTTCCGTCCTTCCTCCGATTCTTGTTAACTTTTTCTAAATCCGGTGACCAATATAAAAAGCGTAGGCTGTCGCATGCGACCGAGTCAAAAAAAGGTTTATCCACGAAGTAAATTATTTCAATGGCAATATTTCATATTCGTGGATCGTTTATATACGATCGACACTGTGAAAACTATTCAATGCTGTTGAATGGAAGTAGTGCCCTGTCAGTGATTGACCTGAACATAATACCGGTACCAGGACACATACAAGTCGCATTTAAGACACCATTGTAAGGGAAAGACTTCGAAGTTCTTCCTCCTCGATTCGATTGTGAGGGAAAGTCGCCAAAATTGTTCCTTCCACTTTTCATCATTGAGTAAGATGTCAAAATACAACTTTAATAGACCTTTTATAGAAATGTTCGAGTGCTTTAAAAAAGAAAAGTGTAAAAAAGTACCGTAAAATTTTCCTGACAGTGGATCCCCTGAGCAATGAATTGATACAAATGAGTCCACTCCCAGCCTCTCGTTAATCCTTATCCGACTTCCGTGGCTTTGATTCTTACTCCTAATACTCATGTATGATAAAAGCGCCTTTGAAAAGACATTATTGAAATTTCCTTTGCTAGACCAATTAATCGCGTTAGTCGCAATTTGCTTGGCTTGTCTGTTGAACTATTGACTAAAAACAAAGTTGGCTCTTGAAGTTTTTTTACTTCTAAACTCTTATAAAGAGTACACTATACGCTGTTTTGTCTCAGATTATTAAACTTAGAAGTCCAACGAGCTGCGCATAGAAATGCTTTTCTATGTGTTGATCCGAGTTGTCCTTCACAGACGGCTAGCAATTAAATGGTTACGAGCTTTGCTAGGTCAGTTCATTCCGCTACAGGCTCTTGAGGTGCGGTGGACACCGGCCAATTTGCAAAATCAAATGTCACGTTATCGCCCATGAGCATAAAGGGTGCCCATTGAGAGACTTTGTCAAAGCCGTTATGACGCATCCAATTTCTGGCCAAA